TTAAATACAATCAATATTATTTGTTTGTCCAGTTCTCAAACTTGGGTTGAATGAACTAGGCTATGGTTCTACATCCTTGGTGGGTTTACACTATTATTTTATACTGTTGTCAGGAATAGCAGTACAATTATTTAAGTAAGGTTATTGATACTATTATTTTATACTGTCTCAGGAATAGCAGTACAATTATTTAAGTAAGAGGTTTGATACTATTATTTTATACTGTTGTCAGGAATAGCAGTACAATTATTTAAGTAAGAGGATTGATACTATTATTTTACTGTTGTCAGGAGTAGCAGTACAATTATTTAAGTAAAGGGATTGATACTATTCATTTTATACTGTTGTCAGGAATAGCAGTACAATTATTTAAGTAAGGTTATTGATACTATTATTTTACTGTTGTCAGGAGTAGCAGTACAATTATTTAAGTAAAGGGATTGATACTATTCATTTTATACTGTTGTCAGGAATAGCAGTACAATTATTTAAGTAAGGTTATTGATACTATTCATTTTATACTGTTGTCAGGAATAGCAGTACAATTATTTAAGTAAGGGTATTGATACTTTTATTTTATGCTGTTGTCAGGAATAGCAGTACAATTATTTAAGTAAGGTTATTGATACTATTCATTTTATACTGTTGTCAGGAATAGCAGTACAACTGTTTAGTAAGGGGATTGATACTTTTATTTTATACTGTTGTTAGGAATAGCAGTACAAATAAAAGTAAGTCAAAAACCTAAAAACCAAATTAATGACGGAAATAAAGTGTTGGCAATAGGGTTGGTACATTTTTATGATGCTTATGGGTTTAACTGGCAAAAAATTTGAAAAAATTCACAAGTCTTAAAGGGACACATGTAAGCATATATTTCTAGTGGCCCTCCTTGCAAAGAATGCCATGCCCGATGCACAACAATAATCTTTGCTTTGTTTGATCAAGTGGGAATTAATACAATAAACATTAATGTTATAAATCTTAACAACTGTGGTTTCTCTACGAAAGTACCTTACTGCGAAGTTCTATTGCAGAAAATGTTAAATATAAAAAACGTAGAAAAACCACAGTATCTTCCACTTAATTGGTCAGATAAAGGTTTCAAGGGTACCGTTGTGAATGAGACATTGCCATCTTTTCAAGGAGTGTCACTTGAAATTCGCTTACAGTTCATTTGAGTAAAAGTGAACATTTTGAACATGGGTTTTAAGAGAACTGTAAATTTTCATACTTCATTGTTCATTGTTCATTGTTCATTGTTCATTTTTCATTGTTCAGGTGTACTCTCTGTCAGAACTAGTACTTCATATCGTTAAGATAGAGAATGTTAGCTCCACCTATACCAAGGAACAGCTATCTGAAAAGTTACTTCCTCTCAGGTTTCATATTTACAGGGTTACCGATAATACCAAGGAACAATTATCTGAACAGTAACTTCCTCTCAGGTATCATATATACAGGGTTACCAATAATTTCAAGGAACAGTTACTTCCTCTCAGGTATCATATATACAGGGTTACCGATAATACCAAGGAACAGTTATCAGAACAGTTACTTCCTCTCAGGTATCATATAAACAGGGTTACTGATAATACCAAGGAACAGTTACTTCCTCTCAGGTATCATATAAACAGGGTTACCGATAAATGTTGAAACTGCAAAGACGACCCAAACTTAAAAAAAATGACTGAAGATTGATCAATCTTCAAATAAAGTATTTTAAAGGTTTACCAAGTGATCATGTACAAGGAACCCTGAATTCAAGAAAATTCAACAAATTCCAAACATTCGTTTTTGAAGTCTCATCCTTTGTGGGTAACCCTGTATCGTCATGGTAAACCAGGGGTTTCTATTTATGATTAATCTGAGTGAACTTGTTACACTACATAGAACAAATAAATTTTCCACAAATAGTATACAGAAACTAATGGAAAAAATAAATTAAGAGAAAATATGGATACCTCATTCATTCTCGATCTGGCGAAGCTACTCGACAAATTTGAGATCTCTTGAAATGATGTGAACAGTCCCTTTAAATATATTCTTGTAGAAGACCCTATGAATCTGGTCTGGGATGTGAGTGGCATGAAGCTAATACGGATTACGGATTGTGCAGGTATGGATCTATCAGTGTGTGGTGAATTTTGTTTAATTTATATATTGATCTTCAGCTGGAATTTGATAACAGTCGGCGTTTTTTAAAACAGTCTAAAACTAAAGAACGAAAAGTTTTGACTTAAATTTTAAGTTCATGCCACTTCTGACTTAATTTCAACCTGAACTTTAACCGTGAGGTTAAATATTTAACTCGCCGAAATCGACGAGTTAAAATTTAAACACAGGGTTATTGCCCATCATCATGGCGGTAAGGAGCATTCAACTAATTACGATATATTTAATAAATTTCACGTTTTAGATTAATTAATGTCTGCACGTAAACCCAAAATACGGTTGTAACTGGAAATATGTTTTGTTTTCCGTCACGTACAGGGTGTCCCACGAAACATGACATTTAATAAATCTTTATTTTTAGTTAAAACATCCTTTTGCTTCATTTTCTTTTACTTTGAAATCAATTTTAATATAACATGACTCCCATATAATACTTTTATTGATCTTTGGTATCAAACAACTTAACAAATTATGGAAAAAGACATTCTAAACTATTCACCAACTGTCATGTTTCGTGGGACACCCTGTACATAATTTAAAATTTAAAAATCAGCTGATTACCAATAGTTATGTAATAATTCTTTTCTCTGATTGGTTCATATTTTCCCGGGAATTTCAAATTTAAAATAGAGAAAGTTTAATATTTAAGTAGCTACTCATTATTTTACAGAACTTTAAACCTTGAACTTAAAATTCGCGCATTCTTTAGTTTTAGACTCTGATCGTAACTTGATTGGGTTTCTATTCTTTTAGCTTATACTAGCTGAAAGTTTCATAGGTAATCAAAAATATATTTTTATTATTAATCGTATGTATTATATCCACTACTGTAAAAGCATACTTTTAACTTTATAATTATTTGACTTGTTTGTTTGTCTACAATAAACGTTTTAACGGCTGGGCCATATTTTCTGTGGTATCTCAAAAGGCAGGTCAAAATAGAATAATTTGTCCAAATAAAATGTTGATATATAAATATATTTGAACTCCATCAGGGGTAACACCTAAGCTGGAAACACTTTAATTGTGGATGTGATGATCAATTCTTGATCTATTTATGTTAATCTTCAGATTAATTTAATCCGATTTTGTTATCTAGAATTTTTACCAACTAGAGCGTCCAATAAGAGAACAAATTCCAAACTCGCCCGCACTCGTATAGGTCGGACTCCAGTAGAGATACCAAATATTAAGTATTAGGTATTAAGCAGAAAATCAAGGGTCCACAGCAGATACCGAGATTAATCAATCGGGATTTAGGTTAACCTACTCAAAAGTACCCAACTCCAATCATATTGTGATCTTATTTTGTTTTGGATAAACATTCTTATCTGTAACTATTATTATTTGTAAATTATTAAATTTGTTTAAGCACTGGTGTTCTGAGGCGGTGGATTCTGTCTGTATGCGAGATAATGAAGCCAGTTAAACCCAGCGCTTGCAATCAGGTCGAGTGTCCAGTACCACCCATAAGTTTTATTGAGTTGGATATTTAGTATAAACCAAAGCGACATTTTAAAGTCTACCCGGTCCTAGGTTTTAGTTTTAACTTGCATAGTTTAAGTTTCTGTGGTCACTCGCACACTGACTAATTTTGAGTCGTGTTAAATAACCGAATAGTTGATTAACAGCGAGACAAAAATGTTTTGTACAATTCATGCTTCAAAATTTAATTAAAACCATAGAAAGACATTACTAGAATCCATTTTTATGCAGTGAGACCCACAAACTTGAGATAAATAAGACTGAGATGAAGTACCAGCGAACGGCATTTAAGATTACTTTGTTATAGGGTGATTAAGTAACTTTATCACCCTACAATGAGAAAAATTAGGTATACAATTTTAATATCAGGGTGAAAAAGTTACTTTTTCGCCCTGTTTTAGGTCAATAAAGTCACTTAATCACCCTTCAACGGGAAATATTAGGTGTGATAAATTCCATCAAAATTGAATAAAACTGTTAAAATAATCCTTGTATTTGAACAGGAGGATGAACCTGCTAAGGGATTTAACTATTAAATAATTCCTTGTTTTTGAACAGGAGGATGAACCTGCTAATGGATTAAACTATTAAATAATTCCTTGTTTTTGAACAGGAGGATGGGTGAAACAGTTTATCTCCTGTATATGAACAGGTGTACGAGTCCGCTATTGGGTTTAACTGTTAAAATATTCCTTGTATTTGAACAGGAAGATGAACTTGCTAATGGAATAAACTATTAAATAATTTTTTGTTTTTGAACAGGCGGATGGCTGAAACAGTTTATTTCCTGTATTTGAACAGGTGGATGAGTCTGCTATTGGGTTTAACTGTTAAAATATTCCTTGTATTTGAACAGGAAGATGAACCTGCCAATGGATTAAACTATTAAATAATTCCTTGTTTTTGAACAGGAGGATGAGCCTGCTAATGGATTAAATTATTAAATAATTTTTTGTTTTTGAACAGGCGGATGGCTGAAACAGTTTATTTCCTGTATTTGAACAGGTGGATGAGTCTGCTAATGGGTTTAACTGTTAACATATTCAGGGTGGCCAAAATGTACGGATTGTTTTTTTTTAACCCTAAAATTGTACGGATTGTACGGATTTGTTTTCAAATTGTACGGATTGTACGGATTTTTATCCAAGAAAATACACCGTTTTTTTAAATTTTCACTCATTTCAGAAAATTTTTCATGAAAATTAAAAAAAATTCTCGTCAAAATGAAGTTAGTTTAACTTATTTTCTGCATTCTAAATAATATTAGATTAGTATCCAGTATCCAGTATCCAGTATCCTGTATCCAGTATTCTGAATCCAGTATCCTGGATCCAGTATCCTGCATCAAGTATCCAGTATCAATCCAGTATCCTGTGTTCTGTATCCAGTATCCTGTATCCTGGATCCAGTATCCTGTATCCAGTATCCAGTATCAATCCAGTATCCTGTATCCAGTAATCCTGTATACAGTATCTTGTATTCAGTATCCAGTATCCAGTATCCAGTATCCAGTACCTTGTATCTTGTATCTTGTATCTTGTATCCAGTAATCCTGTATTCAGTATCCAGTATCATGTACCCAATATCCTGTACCCAGTATCATGTACCCAGTATCATGTACCAAGTATCCTGTACCCAGTATCCTGTACCCTTTATCCAGTAATCCTGTATCCAGTATCTTGTATTCAGTATCCAGTATCCTGTACCCAGTATCCTGTACCCAGTATCATGTACCTAGTATCATGTACCTAGTATCATGTATCCTGTATCATGTATCCAGTATCCTGTATCCTGTACCCAGTATCCTGTACCCAGTATCATGTACCCAGTATCCAGTACCCAGTATCCAGTATCCAGTATCCTGTATCATGTATCCAGTATCCTGTGTCCTGTGTCCTGTACCCTGTAAACAGTATCCTGTATCCAGTATCATGTATCCAGAACCCTGTATCCAGTATCAATCCAGTATCCTGTATCCAGTAATCCTGTATCCAGTATCTTGTATTCAGTATTCAGTATTCAGTATTCAGTATTCAGATAAACCTGCTAATGGATTTAACTATTAAATAATTCCTTGTTTTTGAACAGAAGGATGGGTTTAACAGTTATAATATTTCCTGTATTTGAACAGGTGGATGAGTCTGCTAATGGGTTTAACTGTGAAAATATTCCTTGTTTTTGAACAGGGGGATGAGGATGAGGATGATGGGTTCTGGAGTCAGAAGGGAAGTAAGACTGAACTACATGGGTAATTATTTAATAAACATTTGATTTGAAATAGCAAAATTAAACTATTTCAGAAATGATTGCGAGTATTAGAAATTCCTTAAACTTAGAGAAATACAACTGGGCTTGATGTGGTTTAGAATACAAATTTCTTGGCTTCGCTGCAATATTGCAGCCTTTACTTTAATGTTCACATAGAGTGGGGCAACTAAGGAATAGGTACACACGGCGGAGAAACTTGCAAACTTCTATCTCTCAATTTTATCAATCTTATTCAAGATTAAGAGAACAGTCTCCATTTTGTTTTTTATTAGGGGTAAAACTATTACATTGAGAATGTTCAATCCTTTTTGTACCAGCCAAAAATTATTATTATTGTTATAAAGATTTATTCACACACAAAAATATAAATACATATATAAATGGTGTAGTTAAAATTTGTTTAAATAAATTTTTTTGAAAATACAGGTTTCCAAAAGAAAAGAGAAAAAATATGCAAAATTATGCACAAATAGAAAACATTGATTTTTACTCACTACATAACATATTTATCATTTCAGTTATTACGTAATCATCGAATCCTTCAACATATAAATTATTCATTCTTGTACTTAAAAGTTCTTGTAAAACCGGAACTTTCCATTCATGTTCCAATGGGACATCAAAATATTTCATTTGTTTCTTAACTAACATTTTACTAAGATCGGAAGGATTTACAGAACAATCATTTGCAATAGAAAATAAATTTCTGCCAAGAACTGTGTTGAGGTCATTTTTTGCATGAATTAGAAAGAAATCTAATGCAAAGCTTAGAACTTGCTTCAATAGTCTCATAGAAAGACACAAATCCGCTAGCTAACATAGTTTTTACATGTAAACATTGTGAAATACTTTCAATCAATCAATCTATGCGTATAGAAGCAAATAAGAAGGTACTGTCAAAAAAAATTAAATTAAAACTTATTCATTAACAAACAATTAAAAAAATATAATGATCAATTTTCAATTATTTTCAAACATGTTGATGTGGGTATCAAAAGTTGTGTCTTGAACCGCATACCGTCGCATTTGGCTTTTTTGATATTTTAAAATTGCTTTTTTTTAATACTAATTCAACGTTTCTTAACTCAGTTTTTCTAAACGGGTATCGTCTTATTTTCACGGCATATTTTCCTGGCTTACTGTAACGTTGTCATTTTCAAAAGGTGCATTCGAGCATTTTCATCAAAAAATGCCCCAACTTTATACCCTTTTATCAACCCAAATAGATGTATGAACACATTACAGGAATATCATTTCAGGCTTAACGTCGGAATAGGAGGGATCCATCTTTAAACCTCTGATACAATTATCAACGGTGCACAATTGTACACGTGAGCTCAGTATTTAAAGTACTTCTGAAAGTGTGCCAGCAATGTTAATTCATGAAGCCGTTAAATTGTAAATTCTAGATTCTGCCAGTTTTTCAGTATTAATGTATGTTTGAAATAAGAAAAATTAGCTTGAAGAACTTGATTCATCTTAATTACAAAGATTCTCAATGATGCAAAGAAAGTATTTGTGTTAAATATTTAACTTGTCCATTGAAAGTTCTGAAAATTATATCTTCATAGTTAAATTATTTGAGTTTAATATTTTCAATTGTAGTACTTTTTTATTCTTGTAAGACTTCTTGTACTGTACTTTTCTGCATCAAATATTTTCGGATTTTTTTGAGGCAGCTGTTTTGTATTTAAGTTGTTCTTTTTCCCACTTGTTGTGATTAACTGTACGGTATAATCTAAAAACGTTGTATATTGTACTGTACATATGTTGATCTTGATATTTGTAATTAAAATCGAAGGGTAACCTCTGCCGATGGAGTTAGCCGGGATTTTAATAACTTGAAAATTCTCGTAAAAGTCTGAATAAATCTGTTCCATTCATGGTTAGTTTATTTATTTGGTGCTTGGTAATTATTAACCAATCCTTGGTTTCTATAAAATGTTGATCCCCGATATAATAGATTTGACCCTTTTAAATAGTCAGTCCAAGTTTATGCGCAATAATAAAATGTGCGCCTCGGGTATTAGTTTTAAATTAATTGATTTATAATATAATTATAATTATTATAATACAATTATTTGTTATTCATTTAAAAAGAAAAGCTGTACAAATTAACGCATATATACATATATGTATGTACTGCACTAAGCGATTAAATCAATAAAATGAAGACTACTTTTAGTTTAGAAATGGTAAACGAGCTTTTACAAGTTTACAAGCAACTGGGCTGATGTCCGAGTACATTACAGACTGGAAGCATTACACTCATTACTCCCAATCATTTGAAAAACCGGAAGAACCCCCATTAGACTATAGATGAATCACTCTCCCTGCTCATCAGCCTTTCCTCTCTTCATCATCATTTGGTTGGATCCGTTCATGAGTTCTACGAAATGGTATTTTCTCTCCAATTTGTTATACAAACTTATTGCTATTCGGTTCTCCTGGTTTAGTGCAGTAAATAATACCTTTCAAGTGCATGGTCACCTTTATTGATAAAATTTACAGTGCATGACTAAATAAACAAATAAATATGATAGATAGATAGATAGATAGATAGATAGATAGATAGATAGATAGATAGATAGATAGATAAATAAATAAATAAATAAATAAATAAATAAAAGAATAACCAGTTAAAGCGTTATTTCTGAAGAAATGAATAATTATTATTGGTAAACATGGGCATTAGTTTTGGTCTGTTCTTTAACATTTAATTATTTTTTATTCATATTAATATTTCAAATTTGTATGCTTGATTATTTTGCTATTATTATACTGTGCGAATTATTCTAGAAAAAAAAACAATTAAACCAAAATGGTCCAACTAATGTGTAAGAAATTTGTGCTAATTGTAATAAAAAACTTATTAAACATAGTAATTTAAATTATAAAAAACGTGTTGTTAAGCCTTTTAAAAAAAACTTAAATGTTAAATGATGTCCACAAGTTACTTATATGCATTTGAGTGAAGTTATAAAAGATGCCCACAAGTTACTTAAACGAATTTGAGTGAAGTTGTAAAAGATGTCCACAAGTTACTTAAATGTATCTGAGAAATTATAAAAGATGTCCACAAGTTACTTAAATGTATTTGAGAAGTTATAAAAGATGTCCACAATTTACTTAAATGCATTTGAGTGAAGTTATAAAAGATGTCCACAAGTTACTATCAAATATTATCCTTTTCTTCCAAAACCTAACGCTGGTCACAGTAAAGAACAAAACAAAAATAACAATTAGAAAAACAAAAAATAATCTTGAATCAGTAATTAATACATTAATTACAGTCCGAAGGTACCAATCATTATTACGGTTTTAAAGCTAGGAGTACATCTGTAAATGATGTTCAAGCCTTCACATGTATCCGTCAAGATAATCAGAAAATCAGAATAAGATTAAATTATTAGAATCCATTATTTGAGATAGAAGAGTGTAGAGTAGAGACTATAGTTTCGTTTCTTCCTCTCTGAATTCGGCTCAGCAGCATCTTCAAGAAATGGAATCTCTATGATTTCCTGATTTGATTCAGCTACGTCTAGATTAATTTACTATTTAATCATCAATTTACATTCAGGTTTACTCAAAGAATGAGACGGAATTTATGCTGCAAGCTGTCTCCTTAATCCATGATTTCATGCAACTATAATTACTACCATCTTACTTCCATCATTAGATAATCCATTTAATGATCACATTCAAGGCAACCACTTCATTTTAGCTTGGGATCGTGGTATTTAAAAAGTTTCAGGTCATCTTTAAAGTTTCATCCTTGGGGCAACTCTATCAATAATAAATTATAATTTTTTTAAAGCGATCGTTTTTTAAAACACTTTTTCGTTTTTTCTTTGTCGCTATTTCAAAATAAAATTATCGTTTTATTTAAAAAAGTGGAAACGATTCATCCCTAAATGTGGCATACATATGTACAAAACAGCTTTATATAATAGAATCAATATTGGTTCTAAGAACTTGAAGACCAACACACCTGAAGCAGTAGAATCTATAAAATCAGAAGCTTGATCCCCTTCAGCAGCATCCTCCTCCTCGACAACAATCTCACTACCGGCCGGAGTGTTGTCTTCTAATATTTCGGCCAGACTTTTCTCATCTTCGACCCGGGGTTCTAAATTATTAAAAATATAATTTAGTTATGAATTATGATTCATGAAATCATTTTTTTGTCAATCGCTACTATATTTGTGTATATCAAACCTTGCTGCTCATCGGACTGATAAAGTAATGAACTAATGATAGTATTCGACTACCCCCTGGAGCACTGATTAAGGAATAAACTGATAAAAGTATTCCTACCCCCTGGAGTACTGATTGAGGAATAAACTGATAAAAGTTGTCCCCCTGGAGTACTGATTAAGGAATAAACTGATAAAAGTATTCCTACCCCCGGGAGTACTGATTGAGGAATAAACTGGAAAGTATTCCCCCTGGAGTAGTGATTAAGGAATAAACTAATGAAAGTATTCCTACCCCCTGGAGTACTGATTGAGGAATAAACTAATGTAAGTATTCCTACCCCCTGGAGTAGTGATTAAGGAATAAACTAAGGAAAGTATTCCTAGTGGAATACTGATTAAGGAATAAACTAAGGAGAGTATTCTTACCCCCTGGAGCGCTGATTAAAGAATTAGATAAGGAAAGCATTCCTAGTGGAATACTGATTAAGGAAAAAACTAATGAAAGTATTCCTAGACCCTGGAGCGCTGATTAAAGAATAAAAGCGCGCCAAATCATGATCCAAATATTTTAAAGAATGATTTGTAAGTATTAATACAAGCATGATTATATCCATCTCAGATTGCTAAAGCAAGGTTATTCTATTCAAAGATCGATTCATTGCCAAGGGGGGGGGGGGGTCTGAAGACCGGGTTGTAATTAAATCATTTTAATCTATGCATGAGGATTCAGAGGGGGCAGAATAAACAGTTGAAGGAGGAAAGAAAAAAACAAATTTTAGTTCGTCTCAAACGTTATGTTTCGCGGGACACCCTGGACTTATTAAATTAAATGGGCAGTGTACGTACATTGTAAACTACTCAAGGCATTGTACATTTACCAAAATAAAGTGGCAAGTATATATAATTAAAATCTTTGTTCAAAAATAAACGTACAGTAAGAACCAGAAAACTGTGAAATATGAAACCACGTATTATTTAAGTGTATTTGATCCTGTTACAAAGCAAATAGTTTTACCACCAGCTTAAAAAACAAACAAACATAAATTATTGGAATGGGTGATTTTCCACCGCAAAATTTCTGTGTCTCGTGTACATTGGCCGGACTATGTCTTCTAATAGTCGCCTTCCTATTCCAATGTTTTCTGGTTCTCACTGTATAATGTACATTTTATATTGAATTATGCAGTAAACGTACATTTTAATCTATATTGTACCTGAGCATTTAATAAAATGAAATAGTCAGTATTTATAATGAATACCATGCCATCATCTCTATTCAAAATAAGATTTTCTCACGATGATTTATTATTCTCTCTCTAACTCTATACTGAATATGTTTTACTATAAGGGTTGTCTAGGATACTTTTATTAAATTCTACAGATATATACAGGTTTGTCCATTAAGGGTGAGGCTTCAGAGACGATTGTACAGAATTTACACTGTACTTTTCCTTATACATAATACCCAATGCATCTGTAAACAAGTTAGCTGTAAATTCAAACATTTGGCTTCTTGGATACTTTAAAGGTACACATACAGTCTTATTACCTTGCAACTGCTACTTTATCTCTCCTTTAAACAAAACTAGTAGAGAAAAACAACAAACTAATATTTGATCCGCTTCACTCATTAGTTTCAGATTAAAAAAATGTGATAGCTCTGAGTTCTAGGGGGGACACTGCCCCCCCTCGGTGTACGCCATTGGACACGTCACTCTTAACTTGAAATTAGGTTCAATAATTCCTTTAAAGTGATGAAATTTTTATTACAATCGTTTTCGCATTTTAAATATGAATCATTCACTTTCTTGAAAGTAAAAAGTACATCTTAGAGATCGTAAAATACAAATTTTGAAAAAAATTAATTTTTTAAAACTATAAGTACGGTTTCCCTTCTATTTGACCATATGACGAATCTGCCTGTAAATAATGTCCGTTACTATTTAGACTTTTCAGCTTGTCATGTGTCTCATCAAAGAAGCAATTGTAATGCACGTGATTTTGCGTTAATCACATTCTCAGCAGTTCTACACTTGAATATAAATTGGTTGAGTCCGGTGTCCAAATCAGGGCATAGATCAAGTTTAGTTAAAGCTGGCTGGGACTGCGTTAGTGCACGCAAACCAGACTTGGAGAAAAAAGAACTGAAAGTACAGTGTGCCCATAAATACCAAAAAGTACTTTAACAACCAGTCAAATTTTCAAGGTTGAAAAAAAATACAAAACCTGAAATTAGACTTAGTTTTATTTGTCACAATCACATTTGCACTGATTACACTTTCTGTTATAGTGGTCATGGTTTATATTAATTGCAGATATTATTTATTATTTACATTTATTATTCGTTGCTAAATTATTTTTAATAAATCTTAACTTACTTGTCTTTTCAACTATATCCGTGAAAACAGGGGCGTTCTCCTGATTTATTCCTCATTTATCTTTAAAAAAAACTTATTTTTTAAATTTATGTTAAAAGTAAAATTTAAAAAGTTGTTGATAAATAAATGAATAATAAATTCCTGGTATTGTTGACTATCTTCTACATCTGCAATAGCTTCATTGTGAAAACCTTTAACATTTTAGACTTTAACTATTTGATGTATTTTATTTATTCGATCTATTTAAAGTATTTGATTTATTTGATCTATTTGATCTATTTGATCTATTTGATCTATTTGATTTATTTGATCTATTTGATTTATTTGATCTTTTTGATTTATTTGATCTATTTGATCTATACCAAAATATATAATTTGAAACAAATAGATTATCAAGTACAAAAGGTGGCAACAGAGAAATAAACGAATTTTGCACAACGTCACAAGTGTCAAATATAACAAGGAAAGCGAAATTTTCTCACATTAGTTGACATATTTTCTAAGATTAAATAAATAAGTGTAAAAACAGAAACTAAAGAACACATAAAATTGCACTTATTTTACTGTAAGAAAAGCTTTTTATTCTAAAATTATCACTATTATTGATAATTTTGTCGGACACAAAAACTGAATTGACACTTGTGACGACAGAATACAGCTGTACTGAGAGTGTACAAATTCTACGTTGCCATCTATTGTACTATACTCTATTTGGTTTGAAATAAGAAGAAGGTAAATGTATGCACCATTACTGGTTCGACTTTGGGACCTCGCAGCTGCTCAAGCTCTTTAATAAGAGTACTTATGATTGAAAAATTTTAATATTTAAATCTTGCATATATAGTTTACTTTAGTTTAACGTATTATGAAATCAGAGATGGAATTTAAAGAATTTGAGCCGCGGTTTAAATCTGCCAAAACCCGGTTTAAATTAAGCGCAGGCTTAAATCTTGAAACATTTGATACAATTTTATATGGAACCAACCATATTTAAGCTGCGGCTTAAATTTAAACCGCCGCTGAAATTCTTTAAATTCGGCCACAGGTTTCATAGATTAAAAAAATAAGATTATTCACTGTTTTGGAATACCTGAGAAATCTTCTCCAATGCTGATGATTTCGTCAATATCGTCGTTTTGGCCGTTTTCATAGGACTGTTCAGATTGGCCAAAAAGTTCAGGGCCTCCAAGAGAAATACTATCAAGGGACTCGGATTGTCTGAAACAGATTCGTAAAGTAAATCAGTATAAAAGTGTTTATCTACCATGTTTTACGAGAAGTCAAGATATCTTTTTTATAAAATTTGTCCTAAAAATACTAAGTAAGAAAACGACTGAAAAAGAAAGAAAGTCACAAACGAGGTTTTATTCTTAAAACTTAAAAAAACAGCAAATTGGAATTAAAACAATAAACGACTTATATATGAATGCAAAAATGGCGTAATACCTAAATGACTCGGGTTCATTGGAAGGCAGAATTCTGAACGAATATCTAAAAAAGATTTGATGTAAATATGTATTAATGTGAAAGAAAATTCACCTTTTCAAAGATGCTTCTCCCTGTGACTGTGAGCCCTACGAGAAAAATAATTTAGAATGAAATCTTAAAAGTTAAAATGTTCAACATTTACCACTGTTTTTGCCTTCTCTCCCGGTACAATTGATATACCCTGCAAGCTAACACGGTTGCTAAAAAGAGGGGCGCAAAGTGCCCTATGATCCAAGTATTGTCATATTTTAATAGGAAAACCTCTTAGAGAATTATATGAGAATTATAGAGCTAAATATGAAAATCATAGATCTAAATATGAGAATCATAGAGCTAAATATGAGAATCATAGATCTAAATATGAGACTCATAGAGCTAAATATGAGAATTATAGAACTAATAATGAGAAATATGGAGCTAAATATGAGAATTTTAAAGCTAAATATGAGAGTCATAAAGCTAAATATGAGAATTATAAAGCTAAATATGAGAATCGTAAAGCTAAATATGAGAATTATAGAGCTAATAATGAGAACTATGTAGCTAAATATGAGAATTATAAAGCTAAATATGAGAATTATAGAGCTAAATAGGAGAATTATAGAGCTAAATATGAAAATTAAAGCTAAATATGAGAATTATAGAGCCAATAAGGAGAACTGTTGAGCTAAATATGAGAATCACAAAGCTAAATATGAGAATTATAGAGCTAATAATGAGAACTATGGAGCTAAATAAGAGAATTATAAAGCTAAATATGAGAATTATAGAGCTAAATATGAAAATTATAAAGCTAAATATGAGAATTATGAAGCTAAATACATCTTTTGTCTCTTTGATCTATAATTCAATTTCTCTGTTTGTTTGGATTATTCAATGACAGTAGGTAGACCCATACATAGCGCATTCTATATACTCACCTTGTAATACATATATTTCCATCATGATAAAACACTTTTATTCGAAACCATGAATGCCTGAGTCATTCTCATGCATGTAGGACAATTTTCCTTGAAAACGTTTTTTCATTTAATGTTTTAATTCCATAAGATGACTTTGTCAACAAAGTTTGAGGAACCCCGCGGTTTTATTTATTTTATTTGCTCTAAGTTTTAAACCAGGGGTGTCATGAATATTTTTAGATGTGCTTCTATTTGACCATATNTGTACTTGAGGTCTGTAGGGGGGGGTTCAACTGCCCCCTGGTTACCTGGTATACTTGTACTTGAGGTCTGTAGGGGGGGGTTCAACTGCCCCCTGGTTACCTGGTATACTTGTACTTGAGGTCTGTAGGGGGGGGTTCAACTGCCCCCTGGTTACCTGGTATACTTGTACTTGAGGTCTGTAGGGGGGGGGGGGTCAACTTCCCCCTGGTTACCTGGTAAACTTGAGGCCTGTAGGTGGAAGAGGAAGTTACAAAACCTTCATTACTAAAATATAGTTAAATCAACACATTTATATATTTACTTAATATCCTAATATTTTCTTAATAAGCTAATTTCAAACTTAGATTATTTGATCTAACAGATTTCAAAGTTTGAAATATCTACGGTCTACGACATGGGGTTGCAAAGATATAGAAATTAGAAAATCAGAGTTTGGGTCAAGAATTCAATTCCTTTTTACATAAACTGCGATGCTTGGCTAATATTGCAAGCTTGTGAAAAATTACCTTTCTCCTAGGAACGTTTCTGTTGGCTCTTCTCGCGAAAATACTAGTTGTACAAATTCAGCAAACAGTTTTATACCATTAAATTAATGATACATGTTTTGATAGCGACACGTTTCAAATTCTCATCAAAGAAGACAATTGGTGGCGATTGATATCCTTCATATTTTATTCAGTCCTTCTCCCTTTTTATGGTTTTTTTCACAGTCCCTTTAAAATAGGATGGTTTATGACATGCTGTGAAAAGGTTTGTTTAAAGAATAGAAATTCAGTTCTAAAATTTTTTAATTGAGCTGATATTTGAAATATGTAATCCCGAGTAAAACCCGGATATTACTCGAGATTTAGCGATTTAGATCGTAAATTTCGTAAAACTTTTAAAGGGAGTGACCGGCTATGTAAGGTAGTTGAACTGAGTATGCAGTGTTGTCGAAAACTTCTTTAGGATTCATTTGAGACATGTTTCACTTTTTAAAGATCTGTTAATCCTGAGTTTGAGCGCAAATTTGACGTTCAAAACTCCTGATTTTGGGGGTGGATACGCTTTCAGAATTAGTTTTTTTTTAATTATTAAATAACGACAACGAAAAAAAAAGTAAAAATTATACAGTAATCTAATTAGATTGCTAGGAACATATTTCACAAAAGAAATGTGTAAATAAATCAATGCTAAAATCGATTATTTCGTTTTCATTATTATATTGAATTTCTAATTTTCTTTGAATTTATTCGCAGATTTCTTCAAATTCTTTAAATATCGTCTTTTCAATAATAATTATAGAAAATCTGCGAACATATTTGTGAATAACGAGAAACTAGAATAATGAGATAATAGAAACTAATAATTGAACAAGATTACTTATTTTCTATGATAAGATTAATTTTTATTTTCTCAAAATGTTCCTAAACATGACGTCTGTAGTTTATTGTAGAATATTTTTACATTTTATGTCGTCGTTAATTAATATTTAAAAAAAAACTAAATCTGAAAGCGTATCCACCCCCAAATCAGGAGTTTTGAACATCGAATTTGCGCTCAAACTCAGGATTTACAGATCTTTTAAAAAGTGAAATATGTCTCAAATGAATCCTAAAGAAGTTTTCCACAATACTGCGTCCTCAGTTCAACTACCTTACATAGCCGGTCACTCCCTTTAAGATTGTACATTTCAATCTTAGTTTGTAGATAGTTATATCTGTAAAATAAGCACATCAAGTTATATGTAAGGTTTACAAATCTGAAGAATCGAATGTGCGTTAATCAGTTGCTGAATTTTTCTACCGTTAGACCCAAGTAGAGTTAATTGCAGTTGCGTATACTCTGCGTACATATTGAAACCAGTTCACTCTGGGCAGAACGTGTAAACAAGAATAGATGCATCAGTGTTTGTTTAGTATCCGTGGAGGATAAAAGCATTTAAATTTGATAATTTTGATATTCAAATAATAGTTTCCTTTGACCAGAATATTTCATTGATTTTTTATGTGAAGGTGGATCCTATGTCAGGCTGTGACATCCGTCTTGTGTTTACATTACCGCCCAGAGACAGCACACTGCAGTACAAAAGATGCGTACACCTCTGAAATAACTTTCCTTGCATTATAACCTTGGTTAGACCCAAGGAAAGAGTTTCGCTAAAGAAAGGCTTGAGACTGCGAAAGTTTGGGTTTTATTTTTAAAATCTCAGTCCTGAACTTGGAATATTTAGCTGAATTTCCTTCAGTATTCTCTGTTCTGTATTCTTGGTTGGAGTAGGTTGGAGAGGAGGGGAGGGGGGACGAGTAGGTTGGAGAGGAGGGGGTAGAAAATGAAGGTGTTGTTGAGGAGATAGACGGAGAGGATGGATAGGAAATCCTGGATTTCACTCGAATGATCTCATTAGGACGGCTAGCAGCAGGGTAGGAGGAGTAGGTAGGAGAGGAGAAGGAGGAGGATGGAAAAGAGATGGAAGAAGAGGAAGAGGAAGGAAATGAGAAGGTGGAGGAAGAAGACTTAGAGTTTATTTTTGAAGAAGATGAGGATGAGGATTTATATTCTGATGAAGAAGAAGGGGAGGGGGAGGATTTATATTCTGAGGATGAAGAGGCTGGATAGGATCTAGCAGATGCCGGAGATACGGATCCTCCATAAACTTCATCTCCTCCTTCTTGCCTAGAAATATAAAATATAAATGATATTGTTTAGGTTTTAATTATGAGGACGCACTAGGAACAAATTATCACACCAATGAGGACGCACCAACAACAAACACATACTTACATACATTTTTATGTAAAAGGATACAAGGTGTCCCAAAATTAATATCGGATTTGACAACTGTGACTGTTTTTTTAAATTCTGTTTACTGTTCAGTTATTGCATTGTAAAGTTTTACGGCTGTTGTTAGACTCAATTTATGTGTTTTAAACCATGCAAAAATATGAATAATTTATATTGTCTTTTAATATGGCGTTATATGTTTTTAATTTTAACAAAAAGCAAGAATTAAAATTAATTATATAATTCTTTCATACAAAGTCCATAGTTTAATTTTTACAAGGTTAAATTTCACTTTTACGTTGCTTTAGAACACAATTAAATCAAATACACCTCTGTACCGTTTTACTTATAATAAAGTTTATGTTTTAGTACCATGATACTTTGAACTTTATCAGATGTAAGATTACATTAAAATGAAAAGAGTGTATTATGTGTAGCCTTGTTCAAAGAATGACAATTCAATTTTTAGTTATTAGTATATAAATATGTTTACATTTTGTATGATGTATTAGTGATTTGTATAAACTGAAAAATCTTGTGTTAAATTCACTGGAATTGCTGATTCTAGTACATTTAAATGATAAAATCCCGTACCCTATAAAGTATTTTAGTTTAATAAGATAAACTGTAAATTTTGAAAAAGAATTAAACCGTTTAATTGATTTATAATTACAATTATCAGGGTTTAAAGTAGTGTTTATTGTTTAAATAGGAAATATGTAATCCTTGGATAAATGTTGGCAGATGGCGGTAAAAAAACATGAAAAAAATGTGAGTCCCATTTTATAAAATACCAGCTGAATTGCTAAATTAATAAAAGAAAAAATCTAATTTTGAAATAAAAAATGTTACCCACTGGGAATCCATGGGTTTCCTAAAAAATCAGCAAATTAGGTTCAGCTCTTTGATAAGCTATAGCTAACATTTATATTTTGGCCTATAATACTTTCAAATGGAATTAATCATAAGGCCTAGTATAAATACCGAAAAATATTTTTTTTTGAATTTAAAAAGGCGATACGAAGAAACAATTTGGAATTGTATTTAATACCCTATACGCTTATTACCTAGGCCGAAAAGAAATGATTTAAAGGCTTGGAAGACATGCTTCGTCATTCACGTTAGGGAGATCAGATCATTTTTATATATGAAGACATTATAACTCAATTCAATTCGAATCTACCCAAACATGACGTCTGTAGTTTATTGTAGAATATTTTTACATTTAGCTATTCTTACTTCTTCATTTACTTCCCTACCCCCCACCTTCTTATTTCGTTCCACTTCCATGTACTTCCTTCCATTGTTATTCTTTATCTACTAATTACTCCCTCTTTATAGACATCAGTTCCCCCCCCCCCCCCCTCTCCCTCTCCACTCACAAAAATACTATCCCTACTAACTGCATAACTATCCCTACCAACAGTACAAATATCCCTACTAACAGTATAAATATCCCTAATAACAGTATAAATATCCCTACTAACTGCATAACTATCCCTACTAACTGCATAACTATCCCTACTAACAGTGTAACTATCCGTACTATATGTATAACTATCCCTGCTAACTGTATAACTATCCCTAGTAACTGTATAACTTTCCCTACTAACTGTATAACTTTCCCTACAAACAGCACAACTATCCGTACAAACTACATAACTATCAAAACTTACAGTTTAAATATCCCAACTAACTGCATAACTATCCCTGCTAACAGTATAACTATCCTTTCTAGCTGTATAACTATCCCTGCAAACAGTGTAACTATCCCTACTAACAGTGTAACTATCCCTACTAACTGCAGTGTAACTATCATTTTTAACAGCTTAACTAACAGTGAATCTGTTAATAGGAAGTCGAAGACTTATATTGCAAAAAAAGTATATTTAGGAAATTAGCGGAGTATAATCGGAAATTATTGCAAAGCATTTCCGCAAAAATAAATCAAATTTAAAACCAAGAACTAAAATGTAATTGGGTTTTCATAAACGAGTTGGTTTAGGCAACATTTCCTTCATCAGCAATTGCCCTAAAACTGATTATTTATGATTAATTGTTAAAACGCGACCAACGGTTTAAAATCATGATAAGTACATGTAAATTATTAAGATTATTTAACCAAAATTGTCAAATCTAAAAAAACACGATTCAGAGTTTATAGCAGAGAAAAGAGATTACAGATATCTATTAAAGGCTAGAATATGCGATATTTTATTACAGCATGGGCAGCCGTGGTACATTTAAATTTTCGAGCCGGGTCAACCTTTCCAGTCCTAGTGTGTACTGTATCGCCTGGACATTGGGTAAATAACGCAGACACTCAATAAGACTAGCCGGTGCTACAAGATTGAAGCGGTCAGACTTTAGGTTGAATTTACTTTTACTAAAGGGTCAGGGGTGCGTGTACAGCACGTTCCAATGTGAACAACTGGAGTAAACGACCAATTAGCAGACATCTATCTTCAGGATCCTTTGTATATGAAATAAAAATTAACCCCTGATTGGGTATTATATGCAACACCCGAGACGGCTAAATGGCAGTCATAAAACATCTTGTAGGAATATAGCATGTTGTGCCGGTACGACTTAAGGCCTACTTAGCCCAGCCAACGAAGGTTAAGGGTGTTACTGGGCTTACTGGGCCAGCTGCCCAGGCGGCAAGATATCTAGTACCGGCTCGTCATTATTTTGTACTGGCATAACATATTTCAAATGTCGTCCGCGATCTTAGAGTATGATAACTCATTAATTTTTCCGTAGCAAAACATATATCTGGTCTGTGGTTTATAGTAACTTAACGCACAGTGCATGCATTACGTAGTCGTACAGTACATAAACTGACCTGAGTTGAAAGGACATCTTGTAATATGATTCAGCAGGTAGGTCAACATAGAACTCTCCTACTGTAGTCTTACCTACATATTAAACATTTATAATGATAATAATAATAAAAGTAATAATAATAATGATATAAATAGATAAATAGATAGACAGATAGATAGATAGATAGATATAAGGATTAGGAAATATGCATTGCTGGAAAGTAGTCATTCCCGTAATCATAAACTTGAAGTTACAGTCTCTAAATTAAGTTCAAGTATGGACATGTCAGCATTGAATAGTGCATTAATAAATGCAAACAAATACTTGCAGGTCGTTATATTTATTTATGTATATAATGCATGAGAACAAAGATTTAGAGTAGAAACCTCAGGGATAGAACGGAATGAAAGGAAGGAAGTAGAATAACTTAAGAAGGGAGTGTAGAAGTTAAGAAAGAAAGGAAGGAAAGAAGTGAAAGGAAGGAAAGGAAGGAAAGGAAGGAAAGGAAGGAAAGGAAGGAAAGGAAGGAAAGGATAACTGGCTGAGAACTAATAAGAATAATATATGATGTATGTGTATATAGTATAATATTGGTGGTTTCCTCTTTAACTATTAATCATTTTTGGGCAATTAAGCTTAAAAGAGTTGAGAAGAATGGGGAAGGATGGGAAGGGGAGGGGGGGGGGTATGGGGTAGAGGGGTGTTAATGCAAGGATGTTTGATGGTCTGCGGTTGTTGGTTTTATTTTATGCTATTTAAATTATTTGATTTACTCTTCCTTTTTTGCCAATTGCATCCCATTTATTTTTCCATTTGTTTTATTTTTCTAATTTAAATATTCTCTTCTCTCCGATGATGCTTGATATGCAATGGCTGAAAGAAATTCAGACATTTATCAAGTAGAAGCTAAAAACTGAAATTGCTCTCAGTCAGATTAATCTATTCAACCATCTTTTATAAATTCGCCAGTTTATTCAGTTCATTCATATTTATAGTGCATATATACTTTACAGAGCATATCTACTTTTTAGAGCTTATGTTCTCTATAGAGCATATTTTCTTTATGGAGAATATCTACTTTATAGAGCATATTTGCTTTAAAGAGCATATCTACTTTATAAATCACATCCAGATACTTTGCAGAGGATTTCTACTTTATAGACCATATCTACATATTATGTAAAGCATATCTACTTTATACAGCATATAATCTTTGTAGAGCATATCAACATACTTTGTAGAGCAAATCTACATTGTAGAGCATATCTTCTTTGTAAAGCATATCTTCTATGTAGCGCAAACTACTTTGTAGAGTATATCTTCTTTGTAGAGAATATCTACTTTGTAGAGCATATCTACTTTGTAGAGCATATTTACTTTTTAGAGCATATCTAAATACTTTGTAGAGCATATTTACTTTGTAGAGCATATCTACTTTAAAGAGCATATTTACTTTATAGAGCATATTTACTTTTTAGAGCATATCTAAATACTTTGTAGAGCATATTTACTTTGTAGAGCATATCTACTTTATATCTAAATACTTTGTAGAGCATATTTACTTTGTAGAGCATATCTACTTTAAAGAGCATATTTACTTTATAGAGCATATTTACTTTTTAGAGCATATCTAAATACTTTGTAGAGCATATTTACTTTGTAGAGCATATCTACTTTATAAAGAATATCTACTTTATAGAGTGGAGTAAGTACGGAATACAGAGTACAGAATACAGAGTACAGAATACAGAATACAGAATACAGAGTACAGAATACAGATTACGGAATACAGAGTACAGAATACAGAGTATAAAATACACAGTACAGAATACATAGTACAGAATACAGAGTACAGAATACAGAGTACAGAATACTGAGTACAAAATACAAAGTACAGAATACAGTGTACAAAATACAGAGTACAGAATACAGAGTACAGAATACAGAGTACAGAATATAGAGTACAGAATACAGGGTACAGAATACAGAGTACAGAATACAGAATAAGGAGTTCAGAGCACAGAGTACAGAGTACAGAGTACAGATTATAGAGTACAGAGTTCAGAGTAAAGAATACAGAATATTAAGGAATACAGAGAAAATAATACAGAGTACAGAATACAGAGTACAGAATACAGAGTACAGAATACAGAGTACAGAGTACAGATTCAAGAGTACAGAGTACAGAATACAGAGTACAGAGTACCAGAGTACAGAGTACAGATTAAAGAGTACAGAGTACAGAGTACAGAGTACAGAGTACAGAGTACAGAGTACAGAGTACAGAATACAGATTACAAAATACAGAGTACAGAATACAGATTACAGAATACAGTGTACAGAATACAGAGTGCAGAATAAGAGTACAAAATACAAAATACAGAATACAGAATACAGAGCACGGAATACAGATTACAGAATACAGAGTACAAAGCACAGAGTGCAGAGTACAGAGTACAGAGTACAGAGTACAGAATATTACAGAATACAGAGTACAGAGTAAAGAATATTACAGAATACAGAGTACAGAATATTACAGAATACAGAATACTGAGTACAAAATACAAATGTAGGAAGCAGGAAAGCAAACACACAAACAACTGACACAAAGAAACAAACATATATCCTGGCATTAAAACAAAGAGGAGGAAGAATAAACTAAATTGGCAGAAAATCTAAAATTATGAAAATGGAACAATGGCGGATTTTAAATAAAAAACACACATCATCATCTCATATTTTTACCTCGTTTAAAATTGCTAATTACTAAGATGTAATGATGTATAAAACTTTATGCTCTCCATTATATTAAAATGCTTTGTTTTTAGATTTTAATTTGACAATGAAATAAAAGCAAAAAGTAACCTCGATCTGCTAAACTTGAATACTATACACATACAGCATACACTTTGGAATTATATATATGTCTCGCATATCCGGGGCCGGGTATCCGAAGTAATATAATTATGCAACATTATAAAGAAGATAGTGGTTTGGTAAAACCAATTAAACTAAGCCAAGTGTAAGTGCTTTGTAAAAATTTTAGATGAAAAGTATTGAGCTCTGGATCAAACAGTGTGATATGAAAAGTATTGAGCTCTGGATCAAACAGTGTGATATGAAAAGTATTTAGTTCTGGATCAAACAGTGTGATATGAAAAGATGAATGTATATTGTTCACACCCTGGACAACAAACAAAAGGTGTTTTTGAACACTGCTGTAGCAAACTAAGAATTCTCTCCAAAGTATGAATAGCACTATTTCTTCACCATATCAAAGATGTTTTAAAAATGTTATAACCACAATTTGGACGTTCAGAAGAACAATTGTTTTATTCTGTAGTAAATTTGTAAGATAATTTGGTTTTAAAAATCAGCTTTTTTGAATTTTTGATAAAGAGGGTTTAATTACTACATGAATCAATGTACTGCATGAATGAATTTACTGCATGACAAGTGGTTTTGTGAATGTAAATACAAGACAATAATGTTTATCAACCCCTCTAACCCCCCTCCATTCCATTAACAAACCCCCCTACCTATCAACAGGGTCGTGAAAAGGATGAATTGAAATGTATGCTTAATTAACAATGATTTGCAGGTTAAACAAACGTATCAATTAAACAAACAAATAAACACCAAAACCAACATTGGAAATACATTTTTTCATGATTTGCTGAAATATGTTCTTTCATGTGAGCGGACAAAAGTTTACATGCAAAAAGAGATTAACCTTTTTTATCGAATTATTTTCGATGTTTTTTGTGGTTTTTAAACTGAATTCAAATTACTACCACCAAAGGGTTTCCGCGACTTTTATCCCAAATGAAAGCTAAACGTTGAAGCGTCATATTTTGAATTTTACTGACTTAAAGCAAAAATGGAGGTGGTGTGGCCGGTGGGGTGGGGGGGGGGCAAAATTAAGAACTGATACTGTGACAAAAATCACTTCTCCCCCCTTCCCTTATTGAGCTAATTTTGAAATAAATGAAAAAATAACAAGGTCGCAGGAGTCAAGTTGTCCTTTGTGTTTGCTAGTAAATCTACCATTAAGGAATTAAATGTAACATCTTAAAAGATTAAATAGCACTGTAACCCAGATTTAAACGGATCTACTCGAAACTAAAATGATTTCTCATGCTTCAGCTTTATTTGGAGTTTAATCCGCAAATCTTTCAAATATTTCCAGAAAGTGTACAATCTATCTATCTATCTATCTATCTATCTATCTATCTATCTATCTATCTATCTATCTATCTATCTATCTATCTATATATCTATCTATCTATATATCTATCTATCTATCTATCTCTATTTATCTATCTGTCTATCTATCTATCTCTGAATGACCGTATGTCCAAGTATCATATCACGAAGTGACAATGAGAAATTATAAAGCATGTTCTATAGTGTAACCACGATGGTGTTCTATGCCGCGTTAAAGTCTTATTAATCTGAGGAGATTTCCTGTTTGCAGATTTCAAGAATTATTCTACGAGGAAAACGCAAATCATCATTATTTCATTTTGATCTTGCGATTTTAACTAGTTCGCGAGCAGTTCTAATTTCTTTGGACGGGAAGTATAAAATAGTAACCAACAGTTTTAAAATTTTTATAAAAAGTGCCTGGTTTTAGATTATAAAGGTTCATTAACAACTTAAATCTACTTGATAGTTTACAATTTTTAATTTAATCTCCAAGCATAATCTAAAAATAAACAGGGTGAACTACTTTTAACTGGAATTCCAAAAAATAAAGAATACGCACTAGATTGACGTTTTTAGAGAAAACTTTGTTTTCAGGCAAAGCTGGGTTTCTTAGCAACTAAAAATTAGTGTGAGAATCAAGTATATTTCTCATCCATGATTTTTGATAAAAATAAAAATATTACCTCTGAAACGAGAACAGGTTTAGACAGAGCTGCCATAACTTGAAGAAGAACAAGAGACCACATTTTATTCATTTTCCCTGGGGGTAAAAGTTGTATCCTTTATTATTAATTATATCTGTGTATCCTTTATAATTGTATCCCTGTATCCTTTATTATTAATTATATCCGTGTATTCTTTATCATTGATTATATCCA